GAAGAAATTTTAAAATGCGAAAAACGAGCGTTTACATAAGTGTGTGAATACGATGAATAAAGATAACGAGAATATAAAAATAATTGATACGAAACGAATGTATTTTGAAGGAATTATGAAAAAAAAATTCAATCGTTATCAAAAATAGCGTCGTATCATTAAAAAAAAAGAATAGGATTCGTACATAATAAATCTAAAATAAACGAAATATTCTTTGAAGGAATTATCATACGTGAAAGTCGAGCGTATACATAAACTTGTGAGACGATAATAAAGATTAACGAGAATTAAAAATACGAAGAGTTATAGTGAAAACGAGTCGAACGTCAAATCAACAATAAACGAATAGACGAGACGAATATTTATATTAAGGGGATGGATAAACGTTAAATTACAATAGATAGTATCCAAAATAAATGGAATTAATAATGTTAGGATTTGACCTTCCTTCATCGATTTCGTTGGACATACGTTGTACTTCTTGATCTCGTTCGATTTGATATCGTCTTTGTAACTTCGCTTTTTCGTTCGCAGAAAGCTTTTTCCACCATTCTGACACCAGCTTGCTGTAGTCAGTCATTTGCATATTTGGCGGTTTACGCTTCATCATTTCTTTACGATAGGAAATAAACATATTTGGTCTCCTTCTCCTCGGGCCTCTTTTCGATGCATTGGATGTCTCTGGTTCAAAAAAATACAAAGGTAAGTTATTATCCCCCATTTTTTATTTTCTCGAATAAAGACAAAGTAAAGAGAATATTGTGAATTTTTATAATAAATTACAATAATTCATTGCATATAAACTTTATCATCAATTATGTAATTCTTATTATATAAAATATTTTTTTTCATAGGATAATGCATCATAAATAAAAAGATGCCTATAAAGAATTGAATTGTCATCTCAAGCGAATGATTTCCTCGAATTATTTTATTGATTAAATAATACAAATAACATAAATTCAATTCATTGATCGTGTTAATTTTTTTGCCAGCTTATTAAATTAGCCGATCACATTTATAAAATTTTTATCCCAAAATGGATTCAAAATTAATAATTTAAATCGGAAATCTCGTCCGAAATTATAAAAAATGGTATCAAAATTAAGCAAACAAGCATACAATGCTAACACATAGATCATAAGATAAGCCAATGAAAGTTTCCTATTGTCTTCTTTTATTCACACTTTTTTCCATGTGTCTTTATTTAATTAACATTTGATAATTGTAATTAATAAACTAGGTTACAATTGCAAGCATTATTCATATCAAATTACGAATGCTTTAATAATTAAATTTAATTTTTTTATTTACGAAATTTGGCACACTAATCGTTCAATAAAAATTAATAATTTATAATTGAAACATCACGTCAGATCGATTTTTTGTTTTTTAATAAAAATTTTTTTGTTTAATTGCCTATATCCATTAAATTTATTGATGAACAAGAAATGAATTTTCTTTTTCAATAGATCCGAATTCAGTCCACTAATAAATAACATCTGTCGCACAAACACCCAAATGAACATTAAAATCGAACCATTGGCTAGCTGATCATCGCCAAATTGGAATCATAATAGGATCCCCGCATATTTTTTTTCGATAACATCTTACATTGTTAATTTTCATCATTTTTATTTAACGGTACGGTTAATTAGTAAAATAATTAAAATAATTGAGGAAAAATGTTATTGATGATTTTTTGTTCTAAAGAGAAGTAAGAATACTAAAAATAAATATGGGAGCTAAGCTATTAAAATCAGGTTACGGGATGCCTCCAACCAAAAATGAGAATTTTGATTCATATTATATGATATATGAGCTTTGTTTGGTTAAATTTTTATAGTCGATTATCTTATTAACAAAGCAAGCAATTAAATTTCACTTTTTGTGTAACATCAGAAAAAAAAATCCAAAGTTAGATTTTAGAAATGATCAATGATCGACATTATTATTCAAAAGTTTGGACCCTTTTAAAAAATTCAAAATTTTTTTATGTTTGAATGAGGGGTCTGGAGGTATTTATACCAGTAAAAATTTTTTACTGAAAAATAAACGTGAAAAAAATAATTTAAATAATTTTTTTAAAAATTAAAAAGAATATTTATTACATTAAAAAATTCATTTTTAATAATTGTGATAATAAAAACATTTTTCAAAAATATTTTTCTAATACAATGTCCCGTGATTTTGATTACAAAAATTAGTGTAACAATGTCCCGATAGGATAATAAAACTTTATATATTTTATAATAGCAAAAAGTAAAATTTTAATCAGTGAATTTCAGTTCGTCTTATCAACTAATTCGACTCAATGTTTAAAATTAGAACAATTTATTATTGGTTGGAAATTTTACTGTGGCGTAGCATATTTTCATTTTTTGTTCATCATTTTAATAGCTTAGCACATCTATATTTAGAAAAAAAATGTTTTATTGTCTTAAAAAAAAAAAAAAAAAAATCACATCAATATTATAATTTTATTGTTAGATATTTTCTGTAGTGACCAATAAATATTAACGATCAAAATTTCTGCAAATTAATCATTTATCATCATGAAAAAGTTAAGATATATTAATCATTTATAGCTCGAAATTTACAAAGAAACAATTTTAAAACAGTAAAAAAAAAAAAATTTCAATAAAATGAGTTTTATTTTCTTAATTACGGTATAATACATAAATTTTAAATCTTATATAATGTCATAATAGATGAATATTAAAAATATAATATAGAATCAGAGAATCGGAAACGAACGAAAGAACGAAGAAATCAAAAAAGAAACGAACGAAAAAAAACTAACGTGTTTTCAAAATCGAAATAAAGTATACAGTATATAACGAGAAAAGGAAAATTTAATATTTTGCAAAATCAGTGCCAGCCGTGTATTTTTGAAACCAATCTTCTTGATCATGCAATACAACTTCGCCACCACCGAATTCGGCATAATAAGAATGTGCGTTCGTTTGATTATTATTTAGGCTTCGTTCACCCTCAAACGAGATAGAAGGAGCCTGAACCTTAACACGTTTTATTTGCGACAAAACTTTTTTACCAACAGCGTTTGTTTTTTTTTTTGAAATAGGCGTTTCACGTACGAAGGCGATGTTACCATATTGTTCATAAGTCTTTACTGTCAGACCATTTCCGCCGGAATCAGCTTCTTTCATTACCAGATCTTTTGCGTATTCTTGATAAAATTTGCATTTTTGGGAATCATCAACTGATTTCCATTCTTCACTGGTAATTTTTGAATACTCGGTCATTTTAAGCTTCTGCTTATAAATCCGTGAACTTCGATAACGGAAATATGCATTCGCGGAGCGTTTGCGCTTGCTCATGATTACGAAATGATGATTTTAATTCACGAGCAGACTGAAGAGTTTAAGTCATTCATTTTATACTTTTAAAAATCCTTTAATTACATTTCTCATTATTAGAAAATTTAAACTAATTTGGTCATTAAAAAAATATAAAAACCGGAGAAATTATTGACTCCGAAAAAAACAATTTTTCATAATACCGGAATTTAAATTTCGGGATAACGTTAATTCAAAAGAAAAGTCAAAAGTTATATTCGAGGAAATGTTCTTTGCATGATAATTATTCACTTTCCTAATTGTGCATGTACGTTATACCATTTTTGGATATATCAAAATTAGCCGATATAACAATAGTAAAATTCTATCATGCATGAGATTTAATTTATGATTAAAATAGAAATTATTTCGATTTGATAAATCATTTTATTTTATTTTTTTTCCAAGGATATTTTGAGAAATCAGATTCTTAGAACTCGCATTTCCCCGGTACTTTTGCGCATAATACGATTGTAATTTTTTGTCTTAATTATTTAAGGAAATAAAATTTTTTCCTAATTCAAAAAAGCCAATCAAACGCCGTCTTATTTTTATGTTTTATATACGTATACAATCGCGAAAAGTCATTGCATAATCGGAGTATAAATTTAATCTTGCAAGTGTATTTCGGCAAATTTCTACTTGATAGAAGGTACCAAGTTCACCACAATCTATAAGATCTTGTACAAAGAAATCATTTAATAATTTTAATAATCATAATAAGGATATTTATAGAGAGACTTCTGAATTTTCACCACACCCAAGAATATTCATAAAAAAGCTAGTAATAGATAATTCTTGTAACAATAAAACAAAAAAAAAAATAAATTATCTATTTTAAGCTTTATTTGGTTAGTAGATGTCACGCAGCAATCAGGTGATCGACAAAAAAAAATAACAATGAATTTTAAATAAAATAGATTACTGTTAATAGGTATTGATTTTAATGATAAGCATGATAGGGATTAGCCTCCTTGTCTTGAAATAAGTAATTCGAGAAATTATTGTATACTGTTAATCAACTCTCAATAAATAATAATGTATTATTCCATGTAATTTTTTTCTTCATGATTTGTAATTTAATTCGTTGCCTCGATACCCCCAAATCAATTCATTTCAATGCTAATCATATCATCCCTTTATCAATAAATGACATTAACAATTGGGCCTACATCAAAAGAGTTTCATAAACTCTTCATTCCAATACGAAGCCTTGTTAAATTTATTGAATATTTATGAATATCCGAATTGTCATTCTGTATTTGGTAAAATAATATCACACAAAAAAAAATTTTTTTACGATAACGGACATAGAGTCTTTTCAACATTAATGATCTTAACCCATCCAAATTTGGATTCTCAATAAAACTTTATTAACTTTCAAGCTAAGAAATATAATTGTCTGTTTAAACCTTTGGATATGCAAGTTGACTCATTTTGATCCTAATATAGTTAATTAAAGATTGTCAAAATTGTTAATATTTTTTATTATTATTTTACAGCAAAATTCACAATATACGGAACTTAGTCACATGCCAAGAGAAACTCGGCAAAACTTGGCAAAGCTCAGAATAAGACACACCGAATCTTATCGAGTTTCGGAGGGATGTTCCGATGTTTATGAATTTTGGTAATCGTGCTCGCAAATTAGCAGAAAGTTCATTCCTTGATTGAAATATCTAACTTTTAAATTTCTTAAGACGAAATTTTTTAGGTTCATTTAGAAGCACCATTAAATGCATACATAGTTAAAGAAAAATATTATTTTGTTTTTATCAAATTAAATACAAGTAAATCGAAGTGCATTCGGAGAAAAACCGAATAACTTATTTTCTGCATCAAAAGGGCGTAAAGTATTAATTCTTAATTCGTTTTAATTATTTATTTAATTAAACATTTAAGAGAACCTTACATAATTTTCTAGAGATTTATTAATCCAACTAGCGTGACTTTGAGGCGCCGCTTTTTTTTTTTATTGATGATGTGGGCATCGTTAATTTATTTTTTTTTAGGGAATATTTTGATTGAATTATTCTTAATTCTAACTTATCATCGTGAGGAAGATTCTCATTAAGTACATATTTTCCCCGTAAATCAATATATCTTCGGGCGTAAATATAGGAAAAAGACGGTCATCCTGATATCCATACTTTCATTACCTTCTCTTCTTACAATACCGATTGCTTCAAAACAAAGGAAAAAAGAAGTTTATATTTATTATTTATTATCTTATAACTTCTTTTTTTTTCACATAAAAAAATTCTCTTTATTTGCGTACTTATGATTATAACATTTTCACAAGATTCGGAAAATAAAATCAGGAAAAAGAAAAAATCAAACATTCTAACTTCCATCTGAAAATTAAAAGAATTGGCGAGAAATGACGGCTGAGTTAGAAATGTATTGTATTCTTGAATTAGTTATAACACCTCTCGATTGGTTTATCCGCAATAAACAATAATTTAAAAGGAATAGTATTATTCGTCGTACCAGACAAAAATTTTTATATATTAACCAGCTGTTCGTTATTTATAAGCATATGCATAATATGAAATGTTATTTAAAAAAAAATAAATAAATAATGATTTTCTAACTACATATAATAAAAGGTGGAAAATCAAACTAACTAAATATTAAAATAATATCAATTATTTATATCAATTATATCAATTATCGTAATACAAGTTGTTTTTTTCGGTCAGGCACAGGCTTTACAGCTAACTAATAAAAAAAAAAGAACATCAATATTTGATGTTTAAATTCAATTGTTGATGATATTAAAAGTCATATGGGGGATTTGTCAATAGAAACACACCATCTTACATAATAATTTATTATTATGACGAAGCCCATATGTGAATTTTACTAGAAATATCAGGTTCTGGGAAAATTTTGATTTTTATTGTACTTTAATTTTTTTTTTTTTTTAAAAGTTATTAGATTAAAAATCTCAGAACCTGATTTTCCTAGCAATCTTCCCATATGACTAGCTAAATGACTAGGCCAAAAAAATCTAATTCGAGAATTTGTATGGTGGAACTAAAGTTTTATGATTCAATTGAAACAATATCGTTACATAATTAGTATTATAACTTCAATTTATTTTCGACCGAATGAAGAGTAATATCAACGGATTTAAATTTTTATAAATATGGCAAATTTCGATTTATCGTTGTTTGGGCACTCCTTCATCTTATCATATTATTTATCGACGCTAGTAATAATTACGAATAATGTTCGTTTTTATTGAACCCGATACATTATCTTCCACAGAAAAAGCCCCAAAGAAGAGAAAAGCAAATATGTTTATAATGTATCGGAAAGATATGATGAAGTATAGACCCCATAATATGCCTATGACAAAATTTAGTAAGCTAGTGTCAGAATGGTGGAAAAATCTTTCTGTGGACGAAAAAGCGAGATTGCAAAGACAATATCAAATAGATCGAGATCAAGAGTTAATAAATGTCAATGTACGTGCGGAAAATGATCAAATTGGTGCTCGAGAAGATAAAATAAGCCAGGATTATCGAGATCAAATTGAATATGAACATTCAACCGTTTAGTTTATTAGAATGTAATTTGCAAAGAAAACACCAAAATCATAAAGGTCAAACCATAAATGAAGCTAATAATTTACCCAAGGGAATGAAGAAAGATTGTTATTTAACCGATAATCCTTCAGAAAATTTTTAAGGTAAAGATTTTATTCAACAAATTTTATTCCAAATAAAATTTTTTTATTCTTTTCTTTTATTATCGTTTTCCTTTTTACTCGAATTCTTATATTATTTTTTCTCGAATTTTTATTACTTTTTGATAACAATAACATATTGGGAGTTAAGAAATTACTTCAGCCTTTTTTGCGTAACGGGTACAACGATGTACGAACCTTTTGAATTAGATATGCTGTACTACCTATAAACCTTCGTTCTATGATTTACCGTTTATGATATTTGTATTAAGATTATTTATTATTAAGTTGATGAAATTATAAGTTTTTTCTACTTTTTTATTATTATTAAGCAATAAGGCCACGCAAATTAGCATTTTCGGTTTTACGTCACCCGGCCGGGTCACCTTTTAAATTTTAACCAAATAAGTTTTATATGTAAAAGTTTTATCTCGTGTAATGTTGGTATTCAATTTATTTAGTTTATGCATTTATATACAATTAATCAAATATTTAAACTACGAAATTAAGCATAAAAATTATGAAGTTATGAATATCGAGAGGAGAGGAAAATATATTAAAATTTTAATTAGTACAACTTGGCATCATAACAATATAACAATATGGTCGAAATTGATCTTCAAAGACTACCTAACCAAGGCGAAAATTATGATTTATTCGGGGGAATTATATCCAATGTAACGAATTTTTATGTATGTATTAACAATCATTTCTTGGTTTACTTGATTTTTTATGTCTTTTCTTTATATCTCAAATTACTCCTTAAAAACAAACCAATCACTTCTTTACGATTTACATATAATTTTTTTTTTATTAAACAATAAACCCCGTCAATTTAAAATTTTAATGTTACGTGAACCGAAAATGATAATGTGCGTGGCCTAAATATCAAGGAAACGTAATCTCGGTATTTTAATTTGCTTAAAGTAAGGCTCCGATTTAGAAAAAAAATTAAAATCCGCGATAATGCTGCGCCACTTAATAAAAAATGACAAAGTAGTTTTAAAAAATGCCATGCTAGAATTGTTAACGTTAAAGCAAGTATCAAATTATAATATTTGGCTAAAATAAAACTTTTTATTAAGCAAAACTGCTCAATTATATGAATATATTAACCGGTCGGTCAACTGGTCAGTTAAAACCGGTCAGTTAACCGGTCGGTCGGTCAAAGGCCTTTGACCGACCGTT